GCCCACTTTATTTAAAGGTGGCAATGCATTTACTACCCTACGGATGTTGCAAATGTCCATGGGCGGCTGTTATCACTTAACATCAGGTGAACCGCCAGCTCGTTTGACACTTACTTACATTAAAAAAAAATGTAATCTGCCCGGTACATTTTTTTCCCTCAGTAATGAAGGTGCATCCTTTGTTTCCCCCCCCCCCCCCACAAAGCCGCGTCCGGTGTTCGTTACCTTATATACGCCCGAGGGTCCCTGACGGAGCAATTATTGGCCTTACTTAGGAGCCGGCCGGAGCTTGAAATTGATCTTTGTTTGCCTAACAAGGTGCCGGGTGCCGTTACAAAGGTACAACGGGGAGGCGTCGCTGTTTCTATAGCAACCCGCCCTTATAACGCAGTAATTAATTCAGACGTCTCGGCTCGGCTTTAAGGACGCTAGACTCGCCCCGGCTTCACACGGGTGCGATGCTGAATGTTTGTTTTCGACATTCGCATTAGAAACCTCTAAAATTATCAGTGTTTCTCTACTATATCATGCATGTATTATACATATAAACCTTCGTCTTGAATCACTCTATCCGCAATAATTAAAACCGCATTAAAATCGTTGCGTAGATTTAAAGATCTAAGCATATATAGGGACAGACAGACAACGGGACGACTTTGTTTTATACTATGCTATGATTATGATAGTGCAGTGCGGGCGCCAGCGGAGGCCGTTCTTAAATCGCTCGCGCGTCTTACAGAAACACCTACGAGTGTTAATACAGTACAAAATTGTTTGAAATTACCCCATTATTGGAAAAATATTCAATAAGATTTCCAATATAGGGGCATATCTAAATTGCTGGCGCGTTTTATAATCGGGGCCCAAAACACTGATGAGACTTAAACTAACACAGTATTGTTTGACCTCATCCTTTGCAGTAATATTTAACGAGGTGTCCAGCACAGGGCCATACAGAACAACGAAATGACACCTAAATCTCATCTTCTCACAAAATTATTGTACGTCCGATTAAAGTAGAAGAGCTATGTATTTTGCTCACAGTACAAAAAGTTAATTGGATTTATATGTTGATACCTATTTTCTCCCTTTGTTCTGACTAATTTAAACGTAAAATTAGAAACTTAAGGTTAAAGCATATTATACCATTACGGAATATCTCGACGACGCCAATGTGTGGAGTTAATACTGTTGATGCTCACGTAGGCTAGAATAAGACTATTATACCTGTATGTTATATTGTAAACTGATACTTTTGAAAAAGAGCAACTGTTGAGTTTCTTGCCGGTCTCTTCTCAACAGAAACTGCTTTCCGAACCAGTGGTATCTTACGAACAAATATAGGTTTGTAAGATACATAATTTTTCATGTAAAATTTGACGATTCATAAAGCGAGAGAATCTATTTGAATAAATATATTTTTGATTATCATTTTTGATTTTGTTAAACAATACCGATTGCAGATTTCACTACAGAAACTAAAATCTATGACACATAGGTAATCTTCCCATTACTCATGGTATCCATGGTAATGCGACTAGTCGTAGGACCAGTAGTATTAATTCTAGTATCATAATTTATTGTTCCTGTCCATCGACAGCCACGACCACTCTGCCAAGAATTCCCGACGTTTCGAACCCTTTACAGCGTTCATGGTCACGGGACAGTCTGTCCCATCTTTACTTAATATTATAAAAGCGACAGTTTGTATGTTAGAATGGATGTTTGTTTATGTTGATGTCTTTACAATAATATAGCTTAGACATCAGAATAAGACAAGCTATAATTTATATACATGTTTTATGTATATCTGTCTTTCTGTCTGTATGAATGTTACGTCTTCAGCCTATTCTACGCAGGTCTAGTCGCGGGCAGCATGTAGTATACGTTATAAATCCGTAAAATTAGTTTCATTTATAATTAATTCTAATAGTTCTGAGTACACGCATTTGTGTCTTAATCAAATTATTGATTATTTCTTTAATGTTTACATTATTATAATCATGTTTGGATTAAAAATTTAGTTTATCAACAATACTAATATACTTTTTTTGGCTGTTAAACCGCTTTTTCGTCAACAGAATAAATACACAAAGTATTTATTCTGTTTCAGTCTATACTTTTTTTGTATTGGCACTAGAGTAACTATTTACTCTAATGTAACCTACTTGCCAATCCACTTTCCGGCCCGCTGCCGTTTCCGCCACCTGTTTCCAATAAACACGCTATCGCCACCCCAGGCGGGTGTCGCCGTGACAAGGGAACCGGAAGTTTATTGAAATTGTAGCGGCATCTGATCGGTGTCAGCATTCAAGGCTCACGAATGTTTGAGATGTCAACCGATGTAATGAGTTAACATTCAATACTTACGTAACATTACAAAATGTCGGTAGTCCAGCTGTTGTTGTTTACTAAACATTCGTCTATTTACGGCTAGTTTACGGGATACGTGGATACGTGAACAAAACTATGTTAAACATTATTTAAAGTTAAATATTTATTTGTGATTTTATAATAAGTATCCTGTGCAAAATTATTACCTATTTCAAAACTACACTGGTAACAATGAAAATTTCAAGTTATTCAGGTTCACTGGGGAATATAATAATTGTTATCTTAGGTAGTTTATTATATAATAATTATTATAGAAATGACTATTTATTCCCTCCTACAAAGACTTAATCGTAAATACAATCTTATACCAATGTAAATTACTGGATATTCAGGTACAAATAAAACATGTTGACTAGTTTATCGACGTTTGCTGTATTTTTGAAATCCTTACAATTAATATTACGTCTCTATTCTTCATAAATAAAACTTTTATAATTATATTAACGATCACGTAAACATATCTTAACAAAGGTGGAACAAAGCCGATACAACCCTTGTGCTACGAAAGGCTACACACACGCTACGGCTGACGCTACGTCGAGCAGGGAGCTTTTGTAACAATAGCGCAGTTTAAACTCGCATAATTAACGAATTCAGAGCTCGAGTGAAATCTGATGAAATACGAGCGGGATGGGAAACTATTAAATTCTGTACGGGCTAAAGGGTAACCAAGTTAACGAATTCGCGTGTATTACTTGATTAATCGACCAAAGGTTGGTTTATTTGAATAATATATTTATTATTCAAATAAACCAACCAATTTATTTGAATAATAGATTAATCGACCAAAGGTTGGTTTATTTGAATAATATATTTAGAGTTTCCTCCGATGTGTGCGCATAGAATATATAAGACTTGACAGTATCATGAAAATTTCCACATTTATGTATAAATATCATATTACATATTTACTTTATTCTTATTGAATTTTTCTTTTTCATTTTAATGATAATGTAAATACTTTTAGAGCCAAAATTATCAATTTATTTAATATGAAGTATTTAAAAACATTACCATAATTTTCTATAACTTTGATATTAAATCCGATAATCATATGATATAAGTAAATGTGATAATAAAAATTAAATTTTTGTTTGTTTTTAAGTTTTTTTTATTGTTATTAAGTTATCATAAATATCCGTCTTTATATTATTATACAGGTTGTAACTACTTTTATCTTTTTTTTAAATATTGTCATACTTAATTACAAAGCAACATGTTATTCCGTTGGTGGTTCTTTATAATAAAAAATAACTAAATTTACAATACAGTTGACAGACTGAATATTTCGTAATCGGGAATAATTATGCATTGTTTTCTTTTTTCTTTCTAAAGGAGAGCTTATCATGCCAAATTTAAGCAGACTTGCTTTTAAGTTAACGAATTTAGTTTCTCATAATGTTTTAGAAAATCACATAAGGTTAAAAATTTACAACACATACCTGAATTTAAGTTATGTATGCAACTCGCATAAAAAGGTTGTTTAAGGTTGCCTGGAAGAAATTGCTACCTTAGCACTAAGGCCGCCTATATGTACACTTTGTTTCCTGTATTTTCTTTGTATGTATTTCCTTGTATGCAATTAAGTATATTCTATTCTATTCTATAAAAAAGAATGGTAACCCTATGGACGTGCAACAACGATATTTTCGTTTATGTTCGAATTTCGAATGCTGCTTTTGTTATCGGAATATAGAAATGCATAAAGCGGTAAAAGGGTCGATTCATTAAAATCCGTGGAACAGAATGGCTTTGATATGCATGTTTTAACGAAAAATGTTTCATCACAACATTACATTTCGTTAAATATAATATTTCATTTAGCAAAATTTTACACGGTTCGTCAGATATACATTTGTTAACATTATTAAGATGTTTTTAATACAGTACTTAACTTTGATGACTTTTATTAGTCATCACTTTATACAATATAAATATGGAATTATGAGGACTTTCTTTTCCAATTAAAAATATGTCTACGGTGTCACCGTGACATATCTTTCTTTAGGAGCCCATTATTAGTATTTTCGTGAGATTCTTGATCTTCATTATAATTAACTATTATTCGTGCTCATGGGTTGACGCAATAAATCATTAATCAATCAGATATTTTAGATAATAAGGCAGGTTAGAAGTTACAGAGTTTTAAGTAACTGAAATAAATCCAAAACATTCTTAAAATAAATTTTTATGGGTGCATTACATACATATGCCTTTCTTCATTTTTTACCCAACACCAATTTCATGAAATGTAATTAAATTTTGAAAGAAGCGAAGGTCCAACATACAATATAATCCATTATACACCCATAGAAATTTCGAAATTTAATCTCGCAATTGAACGAAATTGAACGTTGTAATTAACATCGAAAAACTTTAAATCAAACTCAAAAGGGTTGATGAACCTTTTTATTAAAGAAATGATAAGCTATGTTGTAATGAACTCAAAAATTGTACCGAGAACATCTGAGGTGAAATGTCTAGTGTCTAGTACAGTTAACGACATATCTCGATAAGGTGACACTATATATAACTCACGAGAATCAGGCAGTGCCACTAAAAACCTGGTAAGGTGAGAACAGTGGAAACGTCAAAAAGGCACTCACCGCTCCCTCTGGAATTTGAGGGACTGCACCCTTTGCGGCGACTTCTGGCGGAAGGTCCACAGGTGGAGCTGGTCGTCGGCGGTGGCGGTGACCAGGGCGCCCTCGTTCACCAAGAACTTGGCGTGCAGCACCGCCTCGCCCGCCTCGTGGCGCACGTGCGCGTCCACGCCGGGTCCGCCGAGACTAAACTCTGGTCAAGGGAATCATTCACCAGCCGATGGCTTACAACTATGATATAATAATAATAATCATCATTTATTCCTCACCATAATCAACAAGAGTGGCTATAAACTTAAGATAAATTATAAAATACGATACAAAAATACATGAAAACAGAAATACAAGAATAGATTATGGGGGATTGACACTTGAACTAGGTCGAATCCTGTGTCTCAAGTAATCAACCCTCCATCCCGTAACAAAATGTTTTAAAAGGCCTACCATAGTTACAAGTGTACATAATTACATCAAAACAATATAAAACTAATTCATAATTACAAGGAATATACAAGCATGTAGAGGAATATGTGTATCCGTGTGTATATATATACGTGTTTGTACTGGATGTGTGTGTGTGTGTGTGTGTGTGTGTGTGTGTGTGTGTGTGTGTGTGTGTGTGTGTGTGTGTGTGTGTGTGTGTGTGTGTGTGTGTGCGTGCGCGTGTGTGTGCGTCCGTGCGTGCGTGCGTGCGTGCGTGCTTGCGTGCGCGTGTGTGTGCGTATGCGTGTGTGTGTATAATACGGATACCACGCAGCACTTTTACGGCGGTAGGGCCACTCAGTAGCCTCGGCTGTTGCACGAATGGGCAGACCCGTCCGGGTAAGTATCACGACCTCACAGAAAACCTGCTTAAAGTGGAAGTATGACAAATACTTTCGCGTTTCGTTTGGTGAGTGAGGTGGCCGGAGCCCAATTTTCAAAAGGTTGCCAACGCATCCGTAACCCTTGGGTGTGGCATGATGTCCTTGGGCGGCGGTATTCACTTAACATCACGTGAACTGACTGCTCGTTTGACAACTTTTCGCATAAAAAAAAACAATTGTAAAAGAAATTTGTGTGTTAAAATTACTGTATTAGTTATCATTTAAATTATAACTCACTCTCGAAATGAATTGATCGCTCAAGACTGTTTGACTTTAATATTTTGTAAACATGTTTTTACTATCTTTGAAATTTCTTTCACCGGTTCTTCTTAGGTCAAAGGATTTTCTTTTCCTAACCGGTAGTAGTTTGACAATCTATAAGTACGATGTTAAATAAAGATATTTGAATTTGAGCATATTTAAGCTAACCCAACATTGAACTATGGGAAGAAACGTTCAGCACATATAAGTTAATAACCAATATACTGATTTATTGGATGTAGTGATATGGAATATTTTGTTATTTAACGATACAAGAGTAGACTTGATGTGATAATATAAATGTTTTTAGGTATGAGGGCTATATAATTGAAGGAAGGGAAGGGAAGCCCGTGCGTGTATTCAGATTACACTCGTAAACACTTTATGTCTGAAGTGGTTCCGTCGAGAAAATTGTCCGTTGCGAGACGCTTTTAATCTAATTGAGTGCTTAAGGAACTAGAGTGCGCACAATCATTTAAGACGGAATGGATGAAATGGAAATGCGTGTTCACCTAGTGGTTAGGAGGTCTAATCATTTGCCGATATTTATTTCACAAAATAGTTTGATGTTTACGCATGCTTTACGACGCACTCTAAAAAAACGTTGAAAAAAACGTCGTTTCTGCGGGATTTCATTGAATAGTCGTTGTTTAAATAGGAGATTTAGTTCGATTGTAACAGGTAAGAAAGAAATTCCACTTCGAGAAAAGCGGGTTACATATTTGTATGATAAACATAAATATTTATGTTAATGTAGCGTTATATAAAAGCGTCCATATCTACTTAAAATTAAAGCGAACTCTATATGAGCATGGTGAAGCAGACTCCGTTAATAGAATTAAAACAACGTATACGGGAAAATCCTAGAGCGAATGTTTTAAGAAGGGCAAAAGTGGGAATGTGCAGCGTTACTTAATGCGGCAACATGTCTAGTGGGAGAGCGAGAGGGGTGTAGGGAGGATTGTGTATAAAAAACCGGTCAAGTGCGAGTCGGACTCTCGCACGAAGGGTACCGTACCATTATCTATAAAAGCGGCAATGAAATCATGGCTGTTGTAAGAGAGCCCCACTTTTAATATTGGTCACTATACACTTATAACACTATAAATATTTTTTTATTCAGGTATGTAGAATTTGTTGTAATAGCGGCAACAGAAATACATCATCTATGAAAATTTGAACCGTCCAACTATCACGGTTTATGAGATACAGCGACAGACAGACAGACAGCGGAGTCTAAGTATTAGGGTCCCGTTTTCGGAAACCTAAAAACTCGGGTCGCTGGGGACGCTAAATGCGCTAAAGCAAATTTGCAAGGGGCCTTACTTTAAGATATTTTGTCGGTAGATTTAAAAGTAGGAAAAGCGACTGCATGGCGGAACCACTTTTAGGGCTTTATTTTAAATTTGACAGCGATGACTGATTGGGCAATCTTCAGTTCGAATTCCATCAAGTTCAGGGTTGATGTTGTTTCATGGTCAGTGTTGTTTCTATTTGTTGTCCCTTTTATGCATTAGTAGAATAACCACAGTCTGTTGTCAGGGGTTGAAATCCCAATAAAAATGAGCTTTCTTTTCTCGTTCAATAGCCTTTTTGTTGGATAGAAATACTAAACAATCAAGAGAAGAGAACAACTGATAGTACGTATGAATTACCGGTGAATTGAGTTCGAGTCCAGAACCAGAGGAGATTAGGTTCATTACCAATATATGAAATCGTGGAGATCCGGTTACCTATTTCATGACCACGCTGGTCACCACGTGAGGCTGTACTTTCAGGGATAGGCTGGCAATTACATAGTAGCAGGAGCTACTGCTTGCCATTGCTACATATACCACATGTAGTACACAATATATGTAGTGGTTTGCAGTGGTAGGGCCACGCAACAGTTTTCGCTGTGGCACGAATGGGCAGGTCCTTCCGGGTTAGTACCACGACCTCAAAGAAGACCGGCGTAAAGTAGACCGCCAGTTCGTTTGCCACTTCCTCACATAAAAAAGAGAATACTTTACCTTTCGGGCATATGTTGTTACGTCGTGCAATGTATTGACCCAAACTGCCATTATTTAATAACATAATTATGTCTCCGTTGCTAACACCATCAGAATATCAATCGAGATCGTTCTAACCAAGTGACAGTTCTGTCGCGATCCAAGCGACAACGCTAACGTGCATGCATAAAACATGGGTGCTTATTTTAGAGTCATGACTAATTAAAGATAAAAACGCTATGCGAGTAAACACCATATTAATGCACCGCTTATGCCCTACCGCGTGATATATCATAAAATATTTTCCTTTCATATTCAAATTGCATGGTTCTAGAAAGATTTTAACTTCAGAGAGCGTCGAGATTGAGGTTATAAATCAAAACGTCGGAGAAGACGAAAAGGAAATTTCCGAAGAAAGGCCAAAGTGGTGTCGCCCGATGCATGACGTGACAGCGTATCATTATGCTTTGATACGGAGTGCATTTATCGTTACGAAACATATAAAAGATTTTATCCAGCATAGGGTATGGTAGCTAGGGATGTCAATTTGCAATTTAGGGTGGCGAATTCCGGCCATAATGGCGCGAGAAATTACTATTCCGTTCGGCTACTTTCGCAAAAATATCTGTTACAGTTTTCATCGCTATGTTATGACGACAGGTTTACCATGATCGCATGTCATCGTATTTCTCAACCCGTTAGGGTTTAGACTCACATTAGATTGTTTGCAGCATTTGCTGTAATAAGTCGTTATGCTGACACCCAGCCATTCATTTTGTTATATTTGACAGATTCCAAAAAGCCGTAAGTAAGACGTACGAATTCTTATAATCAGGATTTAACTTTGAATAAGTGAGGAATCAAAGCATTTACTATAACTAAATGGCCCACTTCCAATCATTGACTTTAAAATAACGTAAGATTTTAATTTCAAACTTTTGTAAAATTGAATTCTACCAAAAAATGCAAAGGTTGAAACTACTACGATTCTTTGTCAAGTAAACATGTCATTACTTAAAAAATTTACAGATTGCATAAAAGTATTAGTATTATTTCCTTAGGATAAGTTTTTGTAAATTTATTTTAACATTTATCATCATCATTCTTTTACATTTGTAAAAAAAATAAAACAATGTTTTTTAAAATTTATTTCTATTTCAAATTAAGCTAGACGTACTACGTCTTTTTTTTAAAGATTCCACTGCATTATGTAGTTAAGGTGTTAGGTGTTAGTTAACAGTTTACACTAATGGCAGTAGGCCATGCGATTTCACGCTATCGGGCGTTTATCAACCTAGAGAAATATTTATGGCACGTCCAATTTACATGTATTAACGAAATTCATTGCGGTTTTTTTAATTACTTTATTGAGCCATAGTTCTTTTTGTGAAATAAGCACTTATAAAGTAAGATTTTTAAACTAAATTTTAACTAGGTTAATTAGCGGAGCCGTATTTTCTTGTGTTAGAATATTTTCTCAACTGGTAAATGCAAGAATTTTTATATTTAGCTTGCGCTCTATTGCCATTAAAAGTATATTAATTTAAAGTAAAGAATATGCTCGTGAGTCAGATAATGTATGAAATCGCCGAGCTTTTTGCTCGGCGACGACATCGACAATAAAACGTAGTGGCCAGAGCATCGACTCGACACTTTATCAACACATTTTAAGTTTCATCTTCAGCGAAGAGTCTAGCATTAAAAATAAAGAATAAAAGTTACTCATAGAGTTTGACAACTAGCGTTAAGTGAATTGAAACAGAGTGTTGCTTGTTTAGAGTTGGTCGGTTCTACGGTCCGTTTTAATTACTACACGGAGGCTGATTAATTGGAATGGTGATGTACCGACCGGTTGAGTTTCTTCGATGGCTCGAAATGGAATTGAATATCTAGGCCAGGATGTTGTTTTATGTTCTTTATTGTATCCGTGGGTTACGGGAGATTTCGGGAGTGTTAAGTGCAATTCGTGGAATAGTTTTAATCTATTGATTTCTTGATATTACGCAAAAATTATGCATGCTTAAATGAAACTATTTTACGTATTTGATCGCGTTTTAATTTGATTTCA